GTCCAAAACATAAAACAACCCTGGTGTTACGTCAGTGTAACCGAAGTGCGTTCTTCAAGAAGATTGCATTGGCCAATGAGAAAATCACACGAAAATTAGGTTCTGTCCATACTTTCATTTAAAATAAAGACGTTTCATCGTTCGTCACGCTTTCAATTATTTGTATCATCACGTCGCTGCACTGACTCTCACGAACCACAAAGGTTAAACTCATTCACGTGCTTATCACGTGCCATGGTCCCATATTCTTTTGTAACTCCAAGAAAAAAAACGTCTGTAATCATTTTTAACAAATACTACCACAATTTAGGCAATCATGATTATGATATAGTTTTGGTACGCGTGCAGGGATTGATTATACTCACGATCCAAGCTCGAACACCTTCCTTAATGCCACCAACGTGCGATGGTCCTACGTGTGAAGCGGTGAGTGGTTCTAAGGCGGCGATGCTGTTTGTGGGATTGTACCTTGTGGCTTTAGGAGTGGGAGGGATTAAAGGGTCATTACCGTCGCATGGAGCAGAACAGTTCGATGAGAGTACACCAAAAGGTCGTAAACAAAGGTCAACGTTCTTCAACTACTTCGTGTTCTGTCTTGCTTGTGGAGCACTCGTGGCCGTAACGTTCGTGGTTTGGTTAGAAGACAACAAAGGATGGGAATGGGGGTTTGGTGTTTCTACCATCGCCATCTTCGTCTCGATTCTCATCTTTCTCTCTGGTTCAAAGTTTTATAGGAACAAGATCCCTTGTGGTAGTCCTCTCACCACAATCTTGAAGGTATGTTTGCTTATCTCTTGTTGAGATTAAGAATAAACAAGTGTTCGAAGTAATACTACCTATGTTCCCAAAAGAATTTTTTTCTAAATTTATTTGTTGTTCCACAATGATAGATCTTTTACAATTTTAAGTACTTTTAGTAATTAATATTGATAGGTTATATACTTGTAAGAAACATTAATTGAAAAATATTTAAATTGGTTAAATACTATTGATTGATAGATATTGAAAAATATATTATAAAGTAAATAATAAACTTAGTCATAAATATTCACTATATTCTTAATATCCGTGAATACTCTAAAAAAATTTCTTTTAGGTACGGAGGTTGTATATAGGTATAGGTTGAGTAATACCATAGAATGACACTAAAATATTTCATTATTTCAAAATCACATGATCAAAATAGCATTAATCAAAATAAAAGTATATTTTTATTCTATAATTGGATTTGGGTTTAGTGACTAAAGTTTAGGATTGGTATTTAAGGGGTGGAGTTAAGGGAAACGTTTAGGATTTGAATCAATTTAGTCGTTTATTTTTTTAATTAATTTTATTTTAGTAATTTTTTTCCTTGTGTAACTCTGTCATAATATTTCTTGTTTTGCTACCTACCTAAGTCATTGGTTCTATATGGTTTGTTTGTTTCAGGTTCTTCTTGCGGCTTCTGTTAAGGGTTGTTCGAGTGCGAGTCCAAGCAATGCGGTTGTGAATTTAGCCATTAGTCCCTCTAATCATTTAAAAGAAGTTGCTGAATCAGGAGAACTTGAAAAGCCACGTCATCAAGAACCAGTACCTCCTCCTCAGACACAACTCTCCAACAGTTTGAGATTCTTGAACAGAGCTGCTGAGGAGAAACCAGACCATAAGTTGTTAGAATGCACCATCCAACAAGTCGAGGATGTCAAGATTGTGCTCAAAATGCTCCCTATATTTGCTTGCACCATCATGCTAAACTGCTGCTTAGCTCAGCTCTCCACATTCTCCGTCCAACAAGCTGCTTCCATGAACACAAAGATAGGTAACCTAAAGATTCCACCAGCTTCATTACCAGTCTTCCCGGTCGTGTTCATCATGATCCTCGCACCTATCTACGACCATCTGATCATCCCATTCGCTAGAAAAACAACGAAAACCGAAACGGGAGTCACTCATCTACAAAGAATCGGAGTAGGTTTAGTTCTTTCGATATTAGCAATGGCTGTTGCAGCTCTCGTTGAAATCAAACGTAAGGGAGTAGCTAAAGACGCTGGGTTGCTTGACTCAAAAGAAACCTTACCAATCACTTTCTTATGGATCGCGCTACAGTATCTTTTCTTAGGGTCAGCTGATTTGTTCACACTAGCTGGACTTTTAGAGTATTTCTTCACGGAAGCACCAGCGTCTATGAGATCTCTAGCCACGTCGCTATCGTGGGCTTCCTTGGCCATGGGGTATTACCTAAGCTCGGTGATTGTTTCGATAGTGAACAGCATAACAGGGAGTTCAGGGAACACTCCTTGGTTGAGAGGAGAGAGGATAAACCGTTACAAACTAGACTATTTCTACTGGCTGATGTGTGTTTTGAGTGCAGCTAACTTCTTGCACTATCTGTTTTGGGCAATGCGTTACAAGTACAGATCAACAGGTTCAAGAAGTTAAAAGAGATCATGTTGTCTGTCTGCTTTTGAGGGTTGTTGATTATAGAGGAAAAGGGCAGAAAATGTTTTTTTTTTTTTTTTTACTTCATCGGCTGATGTATAAGAGATGAACGTAAATAGTGGAGGTGTTGGGAGTTTTTACTCGTTGGAAAAGGAATGTACAGCGAGTGATGATGATATTAAATTAACTTGGTTTAGTTTTTTACTTTTGAATGGTTTTCTTGCCTTGTACGGTATTAAAGCAGGCTTAACATTTTGATATATTCACAAGGGTTAGGGTTTATTTTGAGAATGCTTCCTATTGAGAATCTTGAAATAACTAAACTTCGTCCCTTGCCTTGATCTCAGGAAGACATTAAGTGAAATTGGCAAGTGATGTTTGTGAGAAACAAATGCTATTATTGTGTACGTGAAATTGTTGAGAAAGGTGTATGGATGAAACAATGAGGCCCAAACATCGTTGAACACTTTAAATGGGCCTAGAAGAGAAATGGAAATCAATTCCATTGTATATCTTTTAATTAGTTATTAAAAAATATATTTTATTAATTAATTACCTAAAATTAACTAATTTTATAATCTTTTGATTAACTAATTACCTAAATTTAACTAATTTTATGTTGAACCAAAAAAAATCAAAATTAACTAATTTTAACCAAAATCCCCTATATATTAATTGAGAAACATTTGAAAAGATGTAACCTCAAGTTTGTATTAATTAAAAAGTAACCTTGCTTAGTTGTCAATCAATTAGCATATCAATTAAACTGACGTGGCGTCTTTAGGTTCAATTGAAATTTGCTAGGGAAAAATAATTAGAGACGCATATAACGCAGGTAACATAGTTTATATATTTATATATATCGCACGCATGTAATGGAAGAAAAGGAAAATATACGATTTGATAACGATTTGCATATATTAACTATAATAACTTCATTCCTTTTAATTTATGGAAGTGTATATGTAAAATGGAAAATACTTAAATTAAAATAATCATAACGTAATTTATAATCATTGGTGTAAAGTTTTGTTACACAAATATGCAAATAATCATAAAATCATATGAGTAGAAACCTCATTTAATAAATATCCATATTAAAAGTGTGCTATATTACTATGTTTATATCATTTAAATTTAATTATATATCATATACAATATATAAGATTGATTATTTTGATTTATTTACCCTAATTGTGAATAAACAAGANAATTTATATGCATACGCCAATTTGTTACATAATAGTAATTGATTTCTTAGTTATTTAATATATATATATTTATTATTTATAATATGCAGAAAAATATAAAATAAATAATAAATATAAAATACTTATTGTGCATAAAGTGCAGATCTTAACCTAAGTATTTATCTGTTTAATTATTTTAAAACTTAAATATTTTCTAAATATCAGGTCAAAACAAACAAACGAAATGAGAATAAAATTCAAAATAAATATTTATACCGAGTAATAACCAAAATATAAAAAAAAACATAGCAAGAGAAAAATGGAAAATAAATAGGATTGACACGTGAACGTAAACTTCTCATAACTGGAAGATAAATAGGATTGACACGTGAACGTAAACTTCTCATAACCATAATTAATTTTTAAATTGTTAAATCATGATATAAAATTGAGTTAATTTTTAATTTGTTAACTTTTATTTTTTTAAAATTTTTTAAATCATTATGGTTATGTTAAATTATGACAATAATTAATTTTAAATAGTTTATTTGTATTCAAAAAACTTTAAATATTGCTTTTAAAAATAATTTTAAATTTAACATAATTTTTTAGAAAATTATTTTAAAAAAATATAATTTTCTAATATTATTAGACAAAGAAATAAATTATATTAAATTAGTTTAGAAACTTTATATATTTTAATTGCAAATATTTTACCCATTGCTTCTTTAAAAACATTAGGGAACTTGCTATACTCTACCAATCAAGCCCACTCCATTTATTTTCCATCACTCGAACACTAAAAAGTAAAAAGATATATGAAATCAGATCCATTAAATTCTAAGATTTGATTTACATTTCTAATTAAAGTTGTTTTTGATCATACGTATAGATAATTATATAAAAATTCCAAAATTCTAAAATTTCAAATACATACAAAAACAATCATATGTAAATTTTAAATTTGTGAATATTAAAATTTTATATTTTAATTACATATANAATTCTAAGATTTGATTTACATTTCTAATTAAAGTTGTTTTTGATCATACGTATAGATAATTATATAAAAATTCCAAAATTCTAAAATTTCAAATACATACAAAAACAATCATATGTAAATTTTAAATTTGTGAATATTAAAATTTTATATTTTAATTACATATATTCACCCTGCGCAAGGCGCATGTCTTATCCTAGTTATAATTTAAACATAAAACTAATTTTATGTGTCAGTCGGATAATTAGAAAAATCTGAGGAACTTAATATTAATATTAGTGGTTGCAAATCAAAACAGAACAGTATCAGACCTTTCACTTTCGAAAACAAACACGGTTTCTTCTGAACCTTCCTTTGTCTCTTCCTTTTCATTTTTGTGCTTTAGCGTCTCTAGTTCTTAAATCTCAGTTCTGTGTAAATTTCTTGATTCTCCAGATCTCTGATCTTTCTCGGTTAGCTAAAATTCGTTTGTGGACCCCTTTTGACAGATTCTTGTCGATTTTAGGGTTTGGTTCTTTGATTCTTTTTTTTTTTTTTGTGGTTTGTAGAAGATGAAGGTTTTTTGGGAATTTCGTTATCACGGCTAGTAGGGTTTCGGTTATATTGTTCATTTCTCTAGGATTCAATTAGACCAAATATTCTGTTGAACAGTAAAATATTTTAATAAATCTTAGCCTACTCGTAGAGAACATGGGTTTTAAAAAATTATTTGATTTTTTTTGTTAAAATAATCTCATCCTTCCACGGTAGGAAGACAACTTTGAATTCTCTGTTGACTTTTTTGTGTGTATAGTTACAGAATCTTTGTCTTGTTCCTTACTTTTTTTTAAAAGTAATTTCATTTTCTGAAGCTTCTTATTATGTTCTGTTTTGATTGATTACAGGAAAAGAAGAGATGGGTCAAGTGTTAGGATGTGTCCAAGTCGATCAGTCAACTGTTGCAATCAAAGAAACGTTCGGAAAATTCGACGACGTTCTCGAGCCAGGTTGTCACTGTTTGCCATGGTGCTTAGGGAGTCAAGTAGCTGGACACCTCTCCTTGCGTGTTCAACAGCTCGATGTTCGCTGCGAGACCAAAACTAAAGTCTCTTGCTTTTACTCTTTTTGTGTGTGTTGTGTTCTCTCCTTAGTTTTCGAGACTTTTGAAGGTTTTTGTTAATGGTTCTTTTGTTTTTGTGTGTTTAGGATAATGTGTTTGTCACCGTTGTTGCTTCCATTCAATATCGTGCCTTAGCTGAGAGTGCTCAAGATGCTTTTTACAAGCTTAGCAACACCAGGAATCAGATTCAAGCTTATGTCTTTGATGGTTTGTTTTCTTCAATATCCTTCCTTGTTTCTTGATGTTGTTGTGTTCATTATTGATTTGTTTTTTGGCGTAGTGATCCGAGCAAGTGTGCCTAAGCTTGATCTAGACTCAACCTTTGAGCAAAAGAACGACATTGCGAAAACCGTTGAGAGTGAGCTTGAAAAGGTAAATTCAAACAACTCTAAAGCCATCTCCTTGAGCAAAAAGACTAATCTGCTGTTGTGTTATGTAATAGGCCATGTCTCATTACGGATATGAGATAGTCCAGACGCTCATTGTTGATATCGAGCCAGATGTGCATGTCAAGAGAGCTATGAATGAGATCAATGCTGGTACGTTCAAGTTTATCGACTTTTGTTTACTAAAAAAGCTTTTAACATGTTTCTGGTGACACACACAGCTTCAAGAATGAGAGAGGCAGCGAGTGAGAAAGCAGAAGCAGAGAAGATACTTCAGATCAAGAGAGCTGAAGGGGAAGCTGAATCAAAATACCTTTCAGGTCTTGGTATAGCACGTCAGAGACAAGCCATTGTGGATGGTCTGAGAAACAGTGTGCTGGCCTTCTCTGAGTCTGTTCCAGGAACATCTTCCAAAGATGTCATGGACATGGTTCTGGTGACTCAGTACTTTGACACTTTGAAGGAGATTGGTGCGTCTTCGAAGTCAAACTCGGTGTTCATACCGCATGGTCCAGGCGCTGTTAAGGACATTGCTACACAGATAAGGGATGGTCTACTTCAGGGAAACGCTGCTGCTGAGTAAGAGATCTTTAGAGTACAAAGCTTTCTTCAGGTTTTAGTTGTGTTGCTACTTGGTTTCTTTTTATCTTTAGCGGTTGGGCTTTTTATTGTTAAAGTCTTTATGGATTCCGTTTAAATACATATCGTTGGTTTGTCTATAGGCTTGTGGATTTGAATCATATGTTTGGTTTTGGTTATATGTTTTGGGCTTTGATAGTATTTGACATAGTTTGGTTTGCTTACTATCCTGAAATAGAGAAAGTAGCATTTACAAAAATATGTAAAATAAATAACCAGATAATGACTTGTTAAATAAAAAAAGTGTACCTAACTTTTTAGTTCTCTACGATACCACCACTAGTGGGGATCTGTGCTTCTTGATATTTCGGGAACAACCATCTCAATACGTTCCAAAATCATCGCTCAGCCGTCGGATCAGAATCAGAAACACAACTTAATCAGACATAAAAACTATTCTAGGTGTTCTCTTAATTTCCTTAATAATTCGAGTTCCGGACGTATCTTTGATTCTTTACTAAAAACTAGATCCAAAAAGACTTTGGTTACTCAACAATTAGTATAACACTAGAAACTAAACCAATCCAAAACCGATAAAAACCAAACCGGATCGAAACAATAATAAACTTTGCCGACGAGGAGGGAGCTGACGTGGCAATTAAGCGAGTAGACGACGCTTTACTCGAATCTCAACAAATAAAGGTGTCCTTCCTTTTCACCAAAACCAAAAGTTTTCTCTTTTTTTTTTTTTCCTCCAAAATAACAAAAAGAATTATTTCAAACGACTCTTAACCTCTTCTTCTCTCCACTCTTTGCTCCCAAAATATCTTCTCTCTTGTACTCGAAACTGCAATGTCCACCGTTCCCATTGAGCCTCTCCTCCACCACTCTCCTCTTCGCCACACCTCTCTAAACCGAGCTTCAGCCTTCTTCCCTTCCTCGTTGAATCTCCGTTGCCATTTCACCTCCAAGAAGCTACACTCAGTCGGAAGAAGCGGAGGTTTTACCGTAGGCTCCGGAAAGAGCTTAGGTCCTCGAAGGTCCGTCTTGATTCGAGCCACCTCTTCCGATACTGCTGTGGTCGACGCAACCGCTCAATCCGATGATGTCATCTTCAAGCAAAATTTCCCCGTTCAGCGAATCGATAAGGTTTTTCTCCACATTTACCGATTAGTTTCCTTCCTAGTGCTTAATTTTGATAAAACCTGGGTAGATATTTTGGTTCACATTTGCGATTTGCTTAGTTTGATTGGAATATATACCTTTCATACTGTTTGTTTAGTTGATTTTATTGATTAATGGATCCACGTGAACACTTCGTTCTTCGAGCTTACAAGATCGTTAGTTTTTTTTTCTTTTTGTGTGTGTTTTCACTCGCTTAATAAGAGTCTTGTGGTTAATGTACGTCCAAAACCTTCTAGTCGTTCAAAAATATAAATAAACAACAAAGTTTTATTTGGATTTTGGGAACGATATAGGCGGAAGGAAAGATATATGTGCGATTAAAGGAAGTGAAGGAGAAGAATTGGGAGCTGAGTGTTGGATGTAGTCTTCCTGGGAAATGGATCCTTCATTGGGGTGTTTCTTATGTTGGTGATACTGGCAGGTCTTTCTTCTTCTTCTTCTTCCCTTTGATCTGCAAACTTCTTGATCTTTTCTTTATTATATTTCCTGATGTTTCTCTATCTTTGGAATTTTGACAGTGAATGGGATCAACCTCCGGAAGATATGAGACCACCTGGATCACTTGCCATCAAGGTATGTATACATACCACTTGCTTTTTTTTGCTTTCCTTTTTTTTTAGTAATCTTTACTTTGAAACTTTGTAACACTTTTTGTTTGTTTGTTTGTTTATGTTGTCATCAGGACTATGCCATTGAGACACCATTGGAGAAGTTATCTGGAGGAGATTCATTTTATGAAGTTACTATTAATTTAAATTTGGAAAGCTCAGTAGCGGCTCTCAATTTTGTTTTGAAGGTTCTGTTGCTTGATACTTTACAACGAAGGTGGTTTGTTTGCCCCTAGTTTAGCATTTTATTTATGGCTGGTGTTTTCCAGGACGAAGAAACTGGGGCATGGTATCAGCACAAAGGGAGAGATTTTAAGGTTCCTCTTCTGGACGATGTTCTTGATGATGGAAACTTGATCGGATCAAAGAAAGGCTTCGGTTAGTGGGCTGGGGCGTTTTTTTATATCTTTCTGTGTAGACTACTTCTTAAAACTTGAACTGACTACCGATTTCACGTGAAGTTTTTATTGCACTAGATCTTCCTTGAATCTCTTATATTTGATTGAGGCTTGCTTTCTCTTGGATATCTAGGTGCCCTTGGTAAGCTCTCAAACATTGTTGTCAAACCAGATGAGCCTGGTGCAGATGTTCAAGACAAAGAGAAGAGTTCGTCTGGTTCTACAAAAGAAAGAAAAGGTCTTGAAGAGTTTTATGAGGAGATGGCAATTAGTAAACATGTTTCCGGTGATAACTCAGTCAGTGTCACTGCAAGGAAATGCTCTGAAACATCGCAGAACATTGTATCGATTGAAACTGATTTACCTGGTGATGTCACTGTCCACTGGGGAGTTTGCAAAAATGGCAGTAAAAAATGGGAAATTCCAGCTGAACCTTACCCTGAAGAAACATCTTTGTTTAAGAACAAGGCATTACGCACTCGTTTACAGGTAATTTTAGAAGTATGTTCCTTGGCATAATTTGAGTGTGCAGCTTTGAAAATCTACTAATAACCACTTGTGTTGTGTCTCTCTAATTTAAGTCTGTGAAATTCAAAACTAGTTCTTCGTTAGCACCTGGCCACGTTGACAACAGTGACCAGTCCAAACATTTGGCAGGTTGTATAAGCCTGGTTTTAAATTTAGCATTAGGGTGGTTAGCAACCCTATGCATTCGGTTTTCATTTTTTCTGGTAGATATTTCCTTCGGATTGCATACCTTTACGGTTGTACCATAAAATGCAACATGTCTTTGCCGCTACTTTCTTGGGCACCTAGAGATCATTTCATGTTGTCAACAAATAAACTAAATCTTCTGTTCACCTTTCGTATTAGAATGTTTTTTTCCCATCAGTGACATCATCTAAGTTTTTGTGCACATGAACCTTCTGCAGCGAAAAGACGATGGGAATGGATCGTCTGGACTATTCTCTCTGGATGGAGAGCTCGAAGGATTATGCTTTGTGCTCAAGTTAAATGAAAATACTTGGCTAAATAATAAGGGAGAAGACTTCTACGTCCCTTTCCTTACTTCAACAAGCCTTCCCGTTGAAACTGAAGCTGCTCAAGGGAGTGGAAAGTCACCAAAGACAAATCAAGAAGTGTCCGATAGTGGATTCACTGCGGAAATCATCACTGAGATAAGGAACTTGGCAATCGACATTTCCTCTCACAAGAATCAGAAGACAAACGTGAAAGAAGTGCAAGAAAACATTCTTCAAGAAATTGAGAAACTTGCTGCGGAGGCATATAGCATATTCAGAAGCAAAACCCCAACTTTTACCCCGGAAAGTGTTTTAGAAGCAGAGGCTGAAAAGCCTGAAATTAAAATCTCCTCGGGAACTGGCTCAGGGTTTGAGATATTGTGCCAGGGATTCAACTGGGAATCCCATAAATCTGGGAGATGGTATCAGGAACTTCAAGAAAAAGCCGATGAGCTAGCTTCACTTGGATTCACCGTTCTGTGGCTACCTCCACCGACAGAATCTGTGTCACCTGAAGGGTACATGCCTAAAGACCTGTACAACTTGAATTCCAGGTGAGCTCTGCAATATCAACTGACTTTCTATCGTTGCTTAGTTTAATGCTTTGTCATGAATCTGGGGTTGTTCAATCTTCAAGTGGGATAAACTGAAATTTTGAATGCTGTTTTTGTTGCCTTATATGTTATTTTTCTTAGGAGGTCATCAATACTTATGACAGTTATATAATGCAGTGGTAGTGTGTCTCAGATAAGAAAATATCATATATCTGAATTACTTATTTCGCCGTTGTTGTTGCAAACTTTTCAGATATGGAACTATTGATGAGCTAAAAGATACGGTGAAGAGATTTCACAAGGTTGGGATCAAAGTTTTGGGAGATGCTGTTTTGAATCACCGCTGTGCTCACTTCAAGAATTCAAATGGTGTATGGAATCTATTTGGAGGGCGTCTGAACTGGGACGATAGGGCAGTAGTTGCAGATGACCCTCATTTCCAGGTAACTTTTTGCTTTCTTCTTTAAAGTTGAAATAATACAATTTTGATCTTAGAGCTTGGGAACAAAAAGACAGGCAAATTCCGCCTTGTTATTATTGTCCAAGGGCTAATGTTTTTTTGACGGAGATAAATGGAATTACTCTTTGATTGTACAATTCAGGGTAGAGGAAACAAGAGCAGTGGAGATAATTTCCATGCTGCTCCAAACATAGATCACTCACAGGACTTTGTTAGGAAAGATATCAAGGAATGGCTATGCTGGATGAGGTTAGTTCCCTTGGTTTTATTTTTCGTAATATAATCGCTGCTGATTGGTTCTGGTGTCTCGTGTTTGGATTCATCTGCAGAGAAGAAGTAGGGTATGATGGATGGAGGCTTGATTTCGTAAGAGGGTTTTGGGGAGGTTATGTCAAAGACTACATGGATGCTAGCAAACCCTACTTTGCGGTTGGTGAATACTGGGATTCCTTAAGTTACACGTATGGAGAAATGGACTACAATCAAGACGCGCATCGGCAAAGGATTGTTGACTGGATCAATGCAACCAGTGGAGCTGCTGGTGCCTTTGATGTCACAACCAAAGGAATTCTTCACGCGGTACTTACAATATTCAACATTTTGTAACGTTTGATTATATGTTTGGGTTGATGAGATATGGTAAGCTTTGTCTGCGTGTAGGCGCTTCAAAAATGTGAATACTGGAGACTCTCAGACCCAAATGGGAAGCCACCTGGTGTAGTTGGATGGTGGCCATCTCGTGCTGTGACATTCATAGAGAATCATGATACTGGCTCTACTCAGGTTTTATTGTTATAGTCTCTCAACCATTTTAATCACCCTTTAAATACACGTCTTTAACTAAATTTACTCCTCGTTTCTAAAAGGGTCACTGGAGATTCCCAGGAGGGAAGGAGATGCAAGGATATGCTTACATCTTGACTCATCCAGGAACACCAGCGGTTTTCTTCGACCATATCTTCTCAGACTACCGTTCTGAGATCGCCTCTCTTCTCTCTCTCAGGAACAGACAGAAACTCCACTGTAGGAGTGAGGTAAAAAACTCACAATCTCTTAACACATAGTTTTACTAAATTCACTTGGTCTT